GAGAGGAAGGGAGAGGGATAGAGTTAGAAACATCGATTAAAGAGAAACACTGATCAGCCGCCTCCTGCACTACCTCCACCAAAGATGTACCTGCAACCAAGGTACATGCCCCTGGCCAGAATCAAACCAGGGACCCTTCAGTCTATAGGCCAATGCTCTACCCACTGAGCCAAACCGGTTTCGGCTCATTCAAGTTTTATAACTATTTATTTTAAAGATACAATAAAATATCACCCCTTAGTATTGCCAAAAAACACACCATATATAATAAACATAAACAGATAAATATAATCCATTCTACAAAGATGGTGAAAAACTTACACACTGAAAATGACACAATTCTGAAGAAAGAAGATACAAATAAACTGAAAGACATTCCTTAATATGTCCAAGTGTCTACACCAGTGGCTCTCAATCTTCCTAATACCACGACCCTTTAATACAGTTCCTCATGTTGTGGTGACCCCCAACCATAAAATTATTTTCATTGCTACTTCATAATATAATATTGCTACTGTTATGAGTCTTTTTCTTTTCTTAAAAATGTTTTGAGTTTTTTTTACAGAAAGAAGGGGAGAGAGCTATAAACATCCATGAGAGAGAAACATTGATCAGCCGCCTCCTGCACACACCCCCCAGGGGATATGGCCGCAACCAAGGTACATGCCCCTGACTGGAATCGAACCGGGACCCTTCAGTCCGCAGGCCAACGCTCTATACACTGAGCCAAACCGGTTTCAGCAACACTAGGATATTTTTAGGTCAAGAATCATTCATTCTGGCCCTCGCTGGTGTCACTCAGTTGATACACCATTGGCTCAAGGATTGAGAGTCCTAAGCTTTGATTGTGTTAAAAGGGATGATTCAGGTGAGGAGTCACAAGAAAGATTCAATAATGTTGTCCTAGCCAAGGAATAACTGACAGTTGGAACCTCATCACGATGTGCCATGATTGTGGGTTCGAGCTCAGGCTGGGGCATATCCAGGGGTCAAAAATGAACAAGAAGGCTGAAACCGGTTTGGCTCAGTGGTAGAGCGTCAGTCTGCGGACTGAAAGGTCCCAGGTTCAATTCTAATCAAGGGCATGTACCTGGGTTGCAGGCACATCCCCAGTGTGGGGTGTGCAGGAGGCAGCTGGTCGATGTTTCTCTCATCGACGTTTCTAGCTATCTCTCTCCCTTCCTCTCTGTAAAAAAATCAATAAAATATATATTTTTTAAAATGAACAAGAAGAAAGGAATCTTTAATTGTGCAACATTCTGTGTGGTGGCAAATCCTCTGTAATGTAACCCCAAAAAGGAGTACCATTGATCAATATCCAATGATTACATCTCCCTTTATACCCACAATAATTTTTACCACAATACGTGTTAGTGAGCATCTCACCATGGATATTTCTATCTCTTCTTCTCCCTAAATCTGCAATTTTTTTTAAATTTAAATATATAAAAATAATCAAATCTTTTTTAAAAATATATTTTATTGATTTTTTACAGAGAGGAAGAGAGAGGGATAGAGTTAGAAACATCGATGAGAGCGAATCATCAATCAGCCGCCTCTTGCACATCCCCTACTGGGGATGTGCCCGCAACCAAGGTACATGCCCTTGACCAGAATCGAACCTGGGACCCTTCAGTCCACAGGCCAACGCTCTATCCACTGAGCCAAACTAGTTCGGACAGAATGTTATGATTGTATTTTTTGCAGAGGGAGAGTTAGAAACATCGATGAGCAGGAAACATTGATCAGCTGCCTCTTGCACACACCCCACTGGGGATGTGCCTGCAACCAAGGCACATGCCCTTGACCAGTATCAAAACTGGGACCCTTCAGTCTGTAGGCTGACACTCTATCCACTGGGCCAAACTGGTTAGGGCAGACTGTTATTTTTTAAAATATACTTTTACTAGAGACCTGGTGCATGAAATTCATGCACGGTGCAATACCTAGGCCTGGCCCTTGACCACAGTGCAAGGATTTGGCATGGAAGGGCCCCCATGCATGCCCTGTTGTGTGAGTCACTGCACCCAAGTCCTCAGGTGAAGATGCTGTGAGCACAGCCGGACACCGCAGGCCAGGGCACAGCGTGGCTTCTGGGCCACCCAGGTGGGCAACTCGCTCTCTCCTGGCCAGCCTCACAGACTGGCTCCTGTGTGAACCCAAGGGAAGCCCTGCAGTCCCAGCAGCTGGGAGAGGCTGCACAGCTGTGGGGCGGCTCCTAATGGGTGCCAGCATCTGAGCACAGGGGGCTTCCCTGGAGCATGGGCCCTGGTGTCAATGTAACAGAGGGAGAGGGACTTCATTGGATACCCTGCATTCTCACCAGACCTGAGGACCCAGATAGCTGGCAAGAGGTCTCAGAGCATCACTGATGCCCACGTTTCACGCTGCCACCTAGTGGTCAGCACATGTCATAGCAAGCAATGAAACTTCTCTCCAGGGAACTATTTCCATATTAGGCTTTTAAATATAGAGGCCAGGTGCACGATATTCGATCACAGGGGGAATGGGTTCCCTTGGCCAGGCCCTTTCCAATCTGGTACCCTTTGGGGGATGTCCGACTGCAGGTTTATGCCTACTCTTTTAACAGATGACAGGTCCATTGTTGTTTCTTTCCATGCTTAAACTCATTGGAATTAGTAAGTACTCAAAGTGTGTATACATTTTGGGGGCACATCCTGCATATCTCTAGTCAGTGGTGAAAGGAACCAAGGGCCAGTTTGGAACCCCCAGAAAGGGAACATTGCTCACTGCCCACACATCGCCCCACTCCACTTTCTACCTTCATGGACAACAAAAGAATCAGTGTTTTCTCTCATTAACTCAGAAAAGCACACCCTGTCACCCGCTGCCTGGCAGGTGTGTGATAGAAAGCGAGGCTCAGTCAGGGCAGGCTTCGTTCATGGGAACCAGCACCCCAAGTGCATTCTTCTCTGCAGTTGCCCCGACTCTCCCGCCATGAAGAACCTCCTTGTCTCCTCTGGGTTCCCAATCTCAAACAATGGCTGAAGGAACCTCAGCGAGGGCTGCTCTGCGCCCACCAGGTGTCTGTCAGCACCTGCTCTTACCTCAGCACCTGCATTAGCCCCATGGAGGCAATTTCATCACCGCACCAGACTCCTTGGGAACAAGGTGTCACCATTCCACCCTCTCACTGTCCTATCACAGGCACCCAACCTGATACCCAGACACGCCCCAAAGGACGTGAGCATCCTGGGGTCGACGGAAGTGGAGTGGAGGGGCAGGGGAAACGTGTGTGCACCATGGTCCGGGCACGCATGAGTGACAGGGCACTAAGGGACATTCACACATGATGGGGAAGGAGAGTATACACGCACCAGAGGCCTCTGCAGATCCAAAAACCCGCAAGTCACAGCCAGGAAGATGTCAACCTGGTCCCCTATGGTGGCTGTCCCTGTGACTGCATAGCTTCGGGGCCAGGTGGCAGCATGGGGACCAGCCAGCAGTGATGGCGAGGGCGGCCTCCTGAGAGGGGTCCACTGATGACCGGCATGTCTAGTCACAGGGGCCGCCGCCACCACAGCCACGTTGTCACCTGGCTCTGTGCTACCTCTGTCCCTGGCCCTTGGTGCAGGGAGCCAGGCTGGCCACTCCTCTAGGGCCAGGTGCAATCCGAGGGCAGGATCTTCCCACAGGTCTCACTGGAAACAGTTCAGGAAGGGTGTTTCAGGGTCAGTGGCAATGAAGGGGGTGTGTGGCATGGAGGTGGTACCTGGGCTTGTTAACTTACACAATGTGTTTTGTACCACAGCATGTGTTGGTGGCTGTAAGCGGTGCCAAGCAAAGCCTGCAGCCAAGCTGAAGCAGTGCCTGAGGGCCATCAGGAGCACTCACAGCCACTGCCATTGGGCACCACCTACCCCGCCCTTGTCCCAACTCTGGGCAAGCAGCAGTATCTATCAGGAGCGCTCACAGGCACCAACGCCGGAACTTACACAGGAAAAGAGGGAGCAATAGAAATATCAACGATCAGAGGGTATCTTGAATCAGCTAGCTCCTGTATGCCCCATATTGGAGATTGAGTCACCAACCAGGGCCTGTGCCCTCACCAGGAATTGCCCCCTGACCTTGTGGTTCATAGGTCGAAGCCAAACCACCAAGGAATGCCAAGCAGTGCTTTATCACTATTCTACAGTATAATGTTTCCTCCACTATAAACTTCTCTGTTATTCAGTAAATTATGAGCTGTGGGTACAGGCTCTTGCACATGTTCTCAATTTGTAAGGTCTCTCTTTAGTATGAAAGTCTCTCAAGTACAGTAATATAAAAATGCCTTTTAAAGACTTTTCTACATTTTTCATGTTCAGAAAGCTTCTTCCCATTTAAAATTCTGTGATGTTCATTAAGTTCTCACTGTTGGTAAAGGATTTAAAACTCTCCTCACATTTGTAATGCTTCTCGCCAGTATGGACTCTCTGATGTGCTGAGAGATTTGAGCCATTGCCAAAGGATTTGCCACATGTCCCACACATATAAGGCTTCTCTCCAGTATGAACTCTCTGATGGTAAATCAGGGCTGAGGAGTGCCTGTAGGCTTTGCCACATTCTCCACATTTATAAGGCTTCTCTCCAGTGTGAACTCGCTGATGCGTGGTGAGATTTGAGGACCAGCTAAAGGCTTTGCCACATTCTCTACATTTATAAGGCTTCTCGCCAGAATGAATTCTCTGATGTGAAGTAAGAATTGAAGCCCGGCTAAAGACTTTGCCACATTCTCTACATTCATGATGCTTCTCTCCAGTATGAGTTTTCTGATGATCACTAAGGGTTTGGGATTGCCAGAAGGCTTTGCCACATTCTCTACATTTGTAAGGCCTCTCTCCAGTATGAACTCTGCGATGATAAGTAAGGGATGAAGACTGCCTAAAGGCTTTGCCACATTCATTACATTTATAAAGCTTCTCTCCAGTATGAACCCTATGATGTCTAATAAGGGAAGATGAATCACTAAAGGCTTTGCCACATTCTCTACATTTGTAAGGTTTCTCTCCAGTATGAACTTTCTGATGTCGAATCACGTTCGAGGCATGGAAGAAAGCTTTACCACATTCTCTACATTTATAAGGTTTATCTTCAGTATGAACATCTTGACGATTAGTAACACCTGCATGGCTAATAAAGGATTTGCCATATTCTCTATATTTATAAGGTTTCTTTCCAGTGTGAATTTTCTGATGATTAGTAAGGGTTGAGGGCCAGCTAAAGGCTTGGTCACATTCTCCACATTTATACAGCTTTTCTCCAGTATGAACTCTCTGATGTCGATTAAGGGTTGCAGACTCACTGAACGCTTTGCCACATTCTGTACATTTATAAGGCTTCTCTCCAGTATGAACACTCTGATGACGATTAAGGGAGGAGGACTGACTGAAGGCTTTGCCACATTCTCTACATTTATAAGGTTTCTCTCCAGTGTGAATTTTCTGATGACTACTAAGGGTTGAGGGCCAGCTAAAGGCTTGGTCACATTCTCTACATTTATACAGCTTTTCTCCAGTGTGAACTCTCTGATGTCGATTAAGGCTTGCAGACTCACTGAATGCTTTTCCACATTTTGTACATTTATAAGGCTTCTCTCCAGTATGAACACTCTGATGCCGATTAAGGCAGAAGGACTGACTAAAGGCTTTGCCACATTCTTTACATTTGTAAGGTTTCTCTCCAGTATGAACTTTCTGATGTCGAATCATGTTTGATATGTGGAGGAATGCTTTACCACATTCTCTACATTTATAAGGCTTATCTTCAGAATGAACACTGTGATGATTACTAAGAACCACATGGCTGTTAAAGGATTTGTCATATTCTCTATATTTATAAGGTTTCTCTCCAGTGTGAATTCTGAGATGAATACTAAATGTTGAAGGCCGGCTAAAGACTTTGCCACACTCTGAACACTTATAAGACTTTTCTTCTATATAATTTCTATGATGTTGATTATGTCTTGAGGACTGACTAAAGCCTGTTCCATTTTCTTTGAGTTTGCAAAATTTTGCTATAGTATGATTTCCTCCCGTATGTACAATAAGAGATGAATGACATTTAAAGGCTTTGCCACATGCTTCATATTTGTAAGTCTTCTCTGCAGTGTGAGTTTTCTGATTTAGAGTAGAACTTGAAGGCCAATTAGATGTTTTATTAGAATCTTTACATTGATAAGGTTTTTCCCCACTATGGATTTTTTCCATTATATTTAGATTGAATATTTGACTGAAGACTCTCCCACATGGATTCCATTTGTAAGCCTCCTCCCCAGCATGAATATTATCCTGTTCAGAGTAATCTGAAGACTGCTGAAAAGATTGGACACATTTACTTCCATTGTACGTCTTCTCCACAATAGGAACAACCTGATGTATGTTGTGATTGGACATTTGGTCAATGACATTTCCACTGTTATAATGGTCCTCTGCAAGCTCACTAATCCGATAATTAAAATATGACTTCTGCTTCAACTTTTTCCAATGTTCAATCCATTGATAGTTGCTATTTCCATTATGTGTACTCTGGTAATAATGGGAGATATAAAGACCTTTAATAACAGTTATAATTTCATTTTAACTCATTTCATAAGAACCATTTTGTGACATTTATTAAACCAAGATGGTTGTACAGAAAAAGTTTTCCTAATTTGTTAAAATTAGACAAAAAATAAAAACTAGTACAAAACATTAACTGTCAGAGGAAGAAGAATGAATCTTTGTTTAAAAGACTACCAAATTTCCCAGCCACATGGCTCAGTGGTTGAGCTTTGATGTATGAACAAATAGGTCATGGTTCTGTTCCCATTCTGGGCACATGCCCTGGTTCCAAGATCAGCCCACAGTGGAAGGAATGTAGGAGACAGCCAATGAATGATTTTCCCATCATTGATGTTTTTCTCTCTCTCGTCCTCTCCCTTACTCTCTAAAAAATATATATATATATATATTTTAAAATAAAAAGTATCATAAAAGATTGCTAAATTGAGTACATTTAATTTTACAGCTACAGTATAGATCTACACATTTTAGAACTGATTAAATGAAAATTTAACGCCACCCTACATTTTAAACACTTCAAATGATTATTTACACTGCGGATTGTGAATTCCTAGTTTATTCCGATCCCCTTTCCAAGAATACATAACAGTAAAAAGTTGTTTTTGACCATCATGTGCAAAAACATACTGATCTGCCAATGTAACTGACTTTAAAGTGGGAGGTTTCCCAAATGCTTAATATACTTGACCTCTATAGGTAACAAGAAATTTATTATAACTGTTTCAGATTAGTTTTGTTTATATTAAAATCCTCCCTTCTCATCCCACTCTTCCTGAAATTTTAAGGCTTTCATTAAGTGTACATTATCAAAACCACACCTTTTATATCTTACCAGTATTATTTCAGAGAATAAATCTGGTATTCCAGGATTGAGCATAAAGGCCTTGTCATTTTCAGATAACATAGCTGAAAGAAAACAAATTTTCAGTTTTGATAATCAGGTGAGTGCACTTTGAAGTTAACAGCAAGTATTGATCAAATGACATTTTTAATTACTCCAACAGCCAGTCAAGAATTCAAAGAAGCTGAAACCGGTTTGGCTCAGTGGATAGAGCATTGGACTGCGGACTGAAGGGTCCTGTGTTTGATTCCGGTCAAGGGCACGTTGCGGGCACATCCCCAGTAGGGGGTGTGCAGGAGGCAGCTGATCGAAGTTTCTCTCTCATCGATGTTCTGGCTCTCTATCCCTCTCTCTTCCTCTCTGTAAAAAATCAATAAAATATATTAAAAAAAAGAATTCAAAGAAAGCTCAAGATAGATACAATGAAGAAAACTCACATCAAAGAAGAAGAAAGAGTTGCTTACATTTGCCAATGATACCTGCTCAAACCCTCTGGCACACAATGGCCATATTATAAAAACACTCCCAATTCCCAGTTTTTTCACTGGAGAGACAGAGGGATGAGGGAAGTGTGTCTTCAATGATATCCCTGTTTTGAAGAACATGTATCTGTTGTGCATGACACAGTGTGGAAACAGAATGATGATAGTGCATGTGAGTACCCTGTAGTGGCTGTTACAGAGAAACAACGAGCCGAAACTGGTTTGGCTCAGTGGTAGAGGGTCTGTGGACTGAAAGGTTCGATTCCGGCCCAGGGCATGTACATTGGTTGCAGGCACATCCCCGGTGGGGGGGGGGTGCAGAAGGCAGCTGGTCAGTTTCTCTCTCATTGACGTTTCTAGCTCTCTACCTCTCTCCCTTCCTCCCTGTAAAAAAAAATCAATAAAATATATATTTAAATAAATAAAAAAAGAAACAGGGGAGAATTCAACTAGGAAATTAAACATATAACTAAACAAAGAATACAGATCCTGAAAACAGTGTTGACTGAAAGTACACTTTGTTCTACAGATGGTTATTATTTGTTTCCTTCTATAGAAAGCATGTTCAAAAGCCTGCTTGTTTATAATTCTGGAATCTCAACAAAAGATATTAAGTTATGCAAAGAAACAGAAAAGGCCCTAACCGGTTTGGCTCAGTGGATAGAATATTTTTACTTTAATTATATAATATTTTGGTGATATTATTGTAATTTTATTTCTCCTTTTTAGCTTTACGATATTTAGTTCCACTCTTTTTCAGGTAATTAATACATTTCCATTAATGTAGTGCACATTTGGATACTTTTATTTTGTGTTTCTGACAGTATACTTTTTCTGTTTTTTTTTTTTTTTTTTTAATAATATACATTTTATTGATTTTTTACAGAGAGGAAGAGAGAGGGATAGAGAGTTAGAAATATCGATGAGAGAGAATCATCGATCAGCTACCTCTTGCACACCCCCCACTGGGATGTGCCCTCAGCCAAGGTACATGCCCTTGACCAGAATCAAACCTGGGACTCTTGAGTCTGCAGGCTGACCCTCTATCCACTGAGCCAAAACAGTCAGGGCTGTATGTGTGTGTGTGTGTGTATGTGTATTTTAATGTCTAAAGCTATATGGTTAACTAATCTATAAGATAGATGGCAAGAACACACATTAGGTAAAGACAGATTCTTCACCAAATAGTGGGAGGAAAAACTGAACAGATACATGCAAAAATAATAAAACAAGATCCCGTTCACAGGCCATGAACCAAAATGAACTCAGCATGGATTAACAACTAAAATATCAGACCTGAAACCATGAAAGCATAGGAAGAAAGCATAGTCAATGAACTTTACCATCATTCTTAAAAATACTGGTTTAGATATATCTTCCTAGGCATAACAAAGGAGCTAAAAAAATAAAGAAATGAGACTACAAAACAGCAAGTTTGGCATAAGAAAAAAAACCACCAAGTAACAACAACAAAAACCCAGCAATTCTACATCCTCAAAAGCTAAAGATCCAAAATATTTAAGGAACTCACACTACTTAACACCAAAACTCAGTATGATTTAAAAATGGGCAGAGGAACTGAATAGACATTTCCCAAACAGGACATAAAAGATGCACAATAGACATATTAAATGATGTTCAACTCATCCATCATCAGAGAAATGCAAATGGACACACCATGAAATACCACGAAACACCTAACAGGATGCCAATCATCCATAAATCAAAATATGACAAGAATTACCAATGACTTGGAGAAATAAGAACATTTGTGGTTTATTAAAAATAAAAATAAAAAAGAACATTTGTGAACTGTCATCAAGATTATACTAGTAAACACACATGCACAAAATTCATGCAAGGGACTCAGCCCTTGTAGCCCCTACAAGCTTCGACTGTTCAAAATAATTAGCATATTAGCTCTTTATTATAAAGGATTGGTGCAGCCACTATCAAAACATGATGAAGGATTTTCCAATATTTAAAAACAAGTACCAGGTAATATAGATTCCATTTATGGGGATTTATACAGAGAACACAAATTCAAAGATATAACCACTAATTTATCCACTGCAGTATTATTTTCAATAGTGAAGATATGGAACTGGAAATAAAGGACTATTTTTATAATGATGTTCTGCCATTTAAAATAAAAAACTTCAAGCTGAAACTGGTTTAGCTCAGTGGATAGCGCATCTGCCTGAGGACTGAAGGGTCCCGGGTTCGATTTCAGTCAAGGGCATGTACCTTGGTTGTGGGCATATCCCCAATAGGGGGTATGCAAGAGGCAGCTGATCGATGACTCTCTCTCATTGATGTTTCTAACTATCTCTCTCCTTTCCTCTCTGTAAAAAATCAATAAAATATATTTTTTAAAAATAAAAAAATAAAATAAAATGAAAGACTTCATTAGACTTGACATGTAAGGATACAAAATTTATATCTCAACTCATCTCTTTCAAGATATGACTCACTGTGTTTATTCCAGAAATGACACAATAGCTGCAAAAAAAATCCCTCCATGTTATTGAATATAAAACTACATTATATAAAATTAATTTTATACTCAATTTATAATTAAGAGTATAAATAAAAAATTAATTTATAAAATTAATTTTATACTCTTCACACTTTTGAAAGACAAATACATAACCAAGTTTGTATTTCAATCCACTGTATTCAAATGGAAATTCCCAATGTATTAACTCAAACATTAAAGAAAAAACAGCAACAAATATGGTATCCACAACAGAAAAAAAAGAAACAAAAGAAAAAAGAAAAAAGAAAAGGGATAGGCTGAGAAAATAATTTGTAAAAGTCATCATGGCCAGCTGGCATGGCTCAGCAGTTGAACGTCAACCTATGAATCAGGAGGTCACGGTTCAATTCCTGGTCAGGGCACATTCCCGAGTTGCAGGCTGGATGTCAAGTAGGGTGTGTGCGGGAGGCAGCCAATCAATGATTCTCTCTGATTATTGAGGTTTCTCTGCCTCTCTCCTTCTCCCTTTCTGTCTGAAATCAATATATCAAAGTCAACAGGTACAGGACAATAGAACCAACATGGCTGAAAAGGACCAAGCAACAAAATATACTGAGTGGCCAGATTATTATGATCTCTGAATGCATAATAATCTGACCACTCAGTGTATATACACATAGAAAAATCACTATAACAAGTTCCTGCACGTCTTATGTCACTAAGGAAATGCACATTAAAACAATGAGAAGTAACAAAGAGCAGAGGCAAGCAACACTCAGCCACCACAGAACAGGTCAGAATCCAGAACACCGACCCCACCATACCTTGGTGATGTGGAGCAACTGGAACTCCAATCACTGCTGTTGAAAATGCCAAATGCTACAGCCCTTTGGGGAGACAATCTGGAGGGTTTTATAAAGCTAAATATACACTCATCATGGGGTCTAGTAATTGGTCTCCTTACTATTATACCAAAGAGTTAAGGCTTTTATCTACACAGAAGCCTACAAGGGGCTGTTTATTCATAATTTACAAATACTGGAAGCAATAAAGAGGTCCATCAACAAGTGAATGGATAAATACGCTGAAGCACATACAATAAAGTCTTATTCACTACTATACTATCTAATAAAGAGGTTATATGCAAATTGACCACCACTCCAGCACACAAGATGGCCACCATAAAATGGTCTGCCAGCCTGATCACCCCCTAAACACTCCCCTGCCAGCTTGATCGACACCTAATTGCTCCCTATGTGGCAGCCCAGTAACACCCAACTGCCCCCCCTTGCATCATGCCAGCAAGGGAGGAAAGTTTGGAGGGACCAGGCTTAAAAGGGAGGGCAGATGTGGGGAACCCAGGCCTGCAGGGGAGGGCAATTGGGGGGAACCAGGCCTGAAAAGAGTTCAGTTGGGGAGAACCAGGCCTGCGGGGGAGGGCATTTGAGGATGACCAGGCCTACCAAAGAGGACAGTTAGGAGCGACCAGGCCGGCAAGGGAGGGCAGTTAGGGGCAATCAAACCAGCAGAAGAGGCAGTTAGGAGTGACCAGGCTGCCAAGGGTGGGAAGTTAGGTGTTGACTAAGCCAGCAGAGAAAGACAGTTGGGGGCAACTTCTAGCCAGAAGACATGGTAGAATATTGGGATATTCTAGAAAATGATTTTCTAAAATATTATTTTCTGATAATTCCTTAATTAGTGTAGACAACATGGAATGTGTGCAAACACTGAGTTCCTAATTAACATATATCACAACGCCTTTCTTTTATACACCACAGAATCCTCATTTTTCCCTTTTTTTAAAAAAAAACTAGAGGGCCAGTCCAGGAAATTCAAGCAAGAGTAGGCTGTCCTTCCCCTGGCTGCCAGCACCGGCTTCCCTCCTATACACAGGACCCGGGCTTCCATCGCAGAGGGAGACTCCGCCAACCCTCACAGCTCACTGGTTGGGCCTGGACCTCCCTCTTTGGAACGATCACGGAGCAACCCGATTGATCACCTCGACAGGATGGATTATGGGGACATGGCCGGGTCCCCAACTAATCGCATCGAACCTGTCTTGGATATTGGGGCGTCAGTGGGTGTCATAGCATAGTCCCAGATGGTATTTCCACTGTTTGGCCGTCTTGTTCATTTGCATATTATACTTTTATTATATAGACTATATTTTTATTGCTTTCAGAGAGGACAGAGAAAGAGATAGAAACATCAATGACAAGAATCATCGATCGGTTGCCTTCTGCATGCCACCTATTGGGGGGCGAGGCTACAATCCAGGCATTGGCACCTGACCAGAATTGAACCTGGAACCTTTTATTTTTTATTTAAATATATTTTATTGATTTTTTACAGAGAGGAAGAGAGAGGGATAGAGTTAGAAACATCAATGAGCTGCCTCTTGCACACCCCCTACTGGGGATGTGCTCGCAACCAAGGTACATGCCCTTGAACGGAATAGAACCCGGGACCTTTCAGTCAGCAGGCTGACGCTCTATCCACTGAGCCAAACCAGTTTTGGCGAACCTGAAACCTTTTAGTCTGCAGGCCATGGAGTCTATCCACTGAGCCAAACCAGCTAGGGCACAATTTGTTCCTACAGAACAAATTCTACCACCGAAAGCAGAAGCCCCTCAGAGATCTTAAAATAATAAAGGAAACAAAACCCTGCGGGTGGAGGAGGAATTCAGGAAGTCATGCTCACCCAGGGAGGCCAGGTTGCTGTAGTTCTCCAACATCACATCCAGGTACAACTTCCGCTGAGCTGGGTCCAGGCACTCCCACTCCTCCTGAGAGAAGTCTATGGCCACATCCGTGAAAGTCAACAGTTCCTGAAAGAAAAGACACAGTTACCAAGAGGTCACCAGAGGAGTTCATAATGTCACCCAACATGAAACCAGTCAGACGAAGAGGTTTGGACCTAGGGGGGTATCCTGAATCATCCGATAAGATCACTTTGTCCCAGTAACATTCTCTGATGTGTTTTCTAACACTGACACATGAGGATGAAAGATGTCTGCAAATCCAGGTGCAGATTTTACTTTACAGGAAAATAAACTTTAAAATTAGGGCATGGCCCTAGCCCAGTGGTCGGCAAACTCATTAGTCAACAGAGCCAAATATCAACAGTACGACGATTGACATTTCTTTTGAGAGCAGAAAACCGACTTCTGCGCATGGCCACGAAGTTTCAATCGCACTGTCCATGCGGGCCTGCACGTGATATTTTGCGCAAGAGCCACACACAAGGGGCCAAAGAGCTGCATGTGGCTCCCGAGCCACAGTTTGCCGACCACTGCCCTAGCCGGTTTGCCTCGGTGGAGTGTCAGCCTATGGACTGGTTGGATTCGAGTGAATGTCACATGCCTGGGATGTGGGCTTCATCCCCAGTAGGGAGTTTGCTGGAGGCAGCCAATCAATGATTTTTCTCTCATCATTGATGTCTCTCTCTCTCTTTCTCCCTCTCCGAAATAATTAAAAATATATTAAAAATTAAATTAAATTAAGGCATGGACACAGCCATATGGATTTCTGAGTGTTGCATTAGGGTCAGTGGCGTATATTTCGCAGCGGGAAATGAGATGGTGGGTTGGAAGTATACGGACTTCTCAAATGTGAAGCAGACCACAACGAAATGTAAACACACAGATTCTGATCCAGGTTCTGAGATGGGGCCTGTGTTCCCACATGTGTAACACATGTCCTCACTTTTCACTTGTGATGCCAATGTTTCCACATCATGTGCCATACTTCTGAATACAGAGAAAAAGAAAACACAGAAAATAATTCATATACAAATTCGAACTAAAAGGCTTTGTTAATAGAATTAGGTTCTTATGGAATATGACACTTAGGAACCACAATCCTAGTGGGAAATTTACCATGAGTAATCTTAGAACTAGATTATTGTGGCTGGTCCGGCTGGTGTGGCCCAATGGTTGAGCACTCATCCATGCACCAATGTGTCACTAGTTTGATATGCAGTCTGGACATACGACCAAATTGCAGCCTCAATCCCCAGTGTGGGGTGTGCAGGAGGCAGCTGATCAATGATTCTCTCATCATTGATGTTTTTTCACCTCTCCTTCCCATTCTGAAATCAGTAAGAACATATATTAAAAAAGAGAGAGCAGAAATATAGAAACTGCTGACGTTGACAATCATAAGAAAAAAGGAAATGAAGAAATAAAGATAAAGTACCTGGAAAGGCAAGAACATCAGAAGTAGAGAAGGAGAGGAAGGAGCCCCAGAGGGATGAAGGGGACTGAGAGGGAGGAGGGGTCCTGGTGCACGGAAGTGGCCGTAACATAGGGGGAGGCACTTCAGACAGAGACACTGGTTCAGAAGAGAAGAATTGGGGGGAGTGAGTGTAGGGACAGAAGGGGGGGCTTAGGGATGAGGGAGAAGAGTGAGAAGCAGCACTGAGTCAGCCAGCTATGGGGAACAGGGCAGACTGTAACGGGGCAGCAAAGGGGACGCAGGTGTGGGGAGGGAAAGAGAAATAGATCAACAGATGTTTCAGAAAAAGCAAACACAGCCTCTGACACATCTTTTACCTGAGAAGCAGCCATTGGCCCTGGTCCTGATGGGGTCTGGGTTGTT